CTCAGCCTCCCAAGTACTGGGATTACAGGTGTGCATCACCATGCCCAGCCATCAGGTAAATGTTTTGAGTCAATTCAGGACATCGAGGCAGCTCAACTCAAGATGCTTAAAAGAAGATTTCCAGAACTGTTTCAGAAAGTGGCCAGCACCAAATAGCTCAGTGGATGAACAAAGTGCCTGCTTAGGCAGAGCTCAGTGGCTAGGGTTCGATTCCTGGTGTGCCATGCCAGCCCCACCTCCAGGGCACACTGAGATGGTGATTAAGACTGGGTAGACTGGGTATGGTGGCGCATGCCTATAATCCCAGCTCTGTGGGAAGCTGACCACAGGAGCACCACTACAAGTCAGATCTAATTAGTGAGACTCTGTAGACCCTTACCAAAAAAAAACCCTAAATAAATGAATAAATAAGTGGCCAGAATGATGGGAAAGGCATGTTGGAAGCAAGTAGGAGTGTTTTGAGCAGGCCTCATGGCAGTGTTTATTCTGCCCTGATACATTTTTAAGTGGATATTCACCATATTGTTGATCAAGCCTCATAGGAGCAGGGTCTTCTGCCACATCACTTTTTTTAAGCCCAACTTTCCTCTAGAGGTTTATCTTATCCTCAGCTGCAAGGACATTGCGCAGGCACCCACCATGCTGCAGCCTTGGAAGTTGTGGCAGAATGCAAACAGGAGAAGGAGAAACACTTCCTCCTGCAACCCTTCCCTCTGGGCTGTGTCCCTTGGTTGGAAGCAAAGATGAGTGATGACTGAAGTTTGCCCAGGCTTTTTCTCTCACATTGAACCTTGGTTATTATAAATAAACAATTTATGAGGTATAACATGTCCACACTCCATTGCAGTGAGACATCACTCAAATATAAGATCATAAAAGTGTCAAAGATCCGTATGGTGTAATGTATCTTATGATATAACCTCTTTAGAACAGACTTTCCTTGGAATTTTTCACCAACAGCCCAGACATTCAGTTTTCCTTCCCCGAAATTAGAAAGCATTAACCCATAATAACCAAAGAGTATCACAGCAAAGGTAACAATCAAAACTACAGGCTGGTTAAAGAGCATAATGGAGAAGCAAGTGGTTTCTAGTGCTATACCTGACAAAAAATTATAATTTCTAGCAGATCAGAAATGGACATTTGTGCTTTTCACATTTTTTGGATTTTATTCTTCTCTTTTGTTCCTGGGTGTTCATTATTGAAACCTTTCACTGTTCAATATTTTAATGCATGCATGATTCACAGGTGGCCACAAGTAGGTGGCTGTATTTTCAAACTATGGGCCTTGGGGCTGCTCTTTCCTTGTTTACTAGTGAGCAAGGCTGTAGATTACTGTGCTGCTCATCCTAACACCAAAACCAGCAGCCTTTGGAAGATGGAGGAGGGCAAACACCCTCCCAGTGCTGGAAACAGTGAGCACAGGGCACCTACGTCACGTGCAGCGGGAGCCACGCTTGGGGCCAGAACCAGAGTGCTGAAGCCCGTGGAGTCCTGCTTGAGCCTTCTGAGCTGCAGCCTCCTTTCCCTGTTTGCTGAATACCTGATGCAGTTGACTGCACATGCCAGAAGGTTGCGCAGAAAGGTTTTGATAGACACATGGCTGCCACCCCTACAAGCGGCTGTCTAGGTGGTGGTGAGAGACCACCTCTCCTTCCCTAAGAGCATTCTTGCATCTCAGTGCTGGGCTCAGGTCAACCCTTGGTCTGATTTGCTTGGACATTGTTGGTGTCCACTGACCTTATTGAAAATAGCTGTCACATATGCTCTCTGGAGCACTGTGTTACTGTAGTGAAATATTAGAATAAGATGGTATGTGAATATGAAGATACTTTTATCAATAACCTTAGCATGAGAATCATAAAAGGACAGAAAAAAATATAGCATTAACATTTTAATATCTTCAGTTATACTATGAAGGTTAATTTTCTGTACCTTTTTCTCATGGGTAAAACATTATTGCTATCATTAGTATGATTTATGTTTATGATTTGATCTATGAAAAAAATTTGCCTTTTGGCTGCAGTTTCAAATATACCACATTATGCATCATTTTGCACTTGTATTTTTCACAGAGATCAATGAATCCTATTAAACTGGGTTTGTCACTTTTTAATACATAGATTTTAATTAATTAGGAAGTCTAATTTCGAAAATGCTGTCTTGGGTGCTTTGTAAAGACTGTTATAACATTTATATTTCTATTAGGTTCCTTTTAAAACTGGGAAGCTGCCATGATATTAGAAAGATAGGACCAAGACACAGCACATATATTTTACCACATAATGTAGAAATCAGATCCAATCCTGTGACTTATTGTTGTTGTTGTTTTGTTTTGTTTTTCTGTATTTGGTAGAGGGTCTCACTGTGCACCTAGGACTCATAGTGATCCTCCTGTTTTCAGCCTCACCAGCTCTGGGATTACAGGCATGTGCCACCACACCGTCTCGGTGGCCAGCTCAGTGCACCCAGGGGTGAGGCCCTGTGGATCAAACCCGGGTCTCTGCACTTGCCTAAGCAGGCACTTAGTCCACAGAGCTATCTCACCAGCCCTCCAATCCTATAACTTATAAATTTATTTTACTGAGTAAATTAAAACTTGGAGCTTTTAGGTGAAAAATAGAAAGATTTTTTTTTTAAATGTGAATAGGATACTAAGATCAGCCCTTGCTAGAACATTATTTAGGATGGCAAAGCATTTTGTTGATGGCATGAGTTGACAATATAACTCTAAGTAATTTCATGAATAAACATGAGACCATCAAGGCCACAGTAAATAGCAGTTAATGGCTGGATGACATTGGGTCCTAGTGAGATTATGATAATATACTATGTCAGTTTTAAACCTAATGGAAGTGTTTTGGAGGTAGCAGCCCTCCATCCCTGACCCGGGTCCGCATTTTTGATGAGAGGATGTTTCCCAGTCATAATCCTAGAGGGTCACTGTAAGCCTGAAGTTTCTCCAAAAGCTCCTGTAGAATAGTAATTACCCTTCATGGTGAACCACAGCTTGCACAGAAGGGATGACTGAGCATTATGTCTTTGATGAGTGAAACTAGCTCTTTATTGGAAACAAAGTGAGCTCAGTAACAAAGCAATTAAAACGTAGTCCTATTTTAATTTTTAAATCAGATGATAAATCAGTGCTTCATATGTCACAACTATATTATAAAACCATGTCATCTTAATGCACTCACAGTGGAGCGGGTCTAGTGTACTTCTGTTCTATTCTCTGCCTTTGAGAGCCAAGTCTTTTAAGTTTCCCCTTTATAAGATTCTCTAGAGGAATAATCACTTAGATGATTAATGATCGCTGATCATAAATGCATGCAGTTATTTATACAACCATATAACAATAAAACAATGTCCTAAAATTTCTTCCAGCCTAAAATTAGTTTTTATATTGAAGTCTAAGGGTGGGATCCCATAGGAAAACTTTATAGTTCCTTTATCTACAGTGTGGCTTTATGCTTTAGAGAGATTTAGTAGCAATTTTCAGCAAGATGATAAACTTTATATTAAGTCTATCACAGAGGCAAAAAATATCCTGACCCCTCTCAGATGGAAGTAGCACGCTTTATCTTAGCCTCCAGCTCTATCTTCTTCAGTGTCTCTGACCAGGTATTTGCACCCCTGTAGCATCAGTAGCTCTTCTATTAAACCCCATTGTGCAGTTTAGGCATAGCCTATAGACAGAACTGGAAGGAAGGAGGAAGAATATTTGAAGATGTTACAGAACACACACAACACACTACCATAGAAACAATTATAGCATAGGACCAAAGGGCATAAGGATATGACACTTATCTATTGTAATCATAAAATGAGACAAAGACCATTTAGTGTAGGCTGTCTTTTAATTATAAGCAAGCTAGAAATGGACTATTTTGGTTGTCTGAGACAGGAACTCACTTACTATGTAGTTCAAGCTGTCCTCAAACTCACTATACAGACAAGTCTTGAACCCTCCATCCTTCTGCCTCAGTCTTAAAGTAGGAAATATTTTTTTTCTAAAAAGGATCTTGAAGAATTTTCTTTGAGAAAGTACAGAACAACTCAAGCAAGTCTTGGCATCCGGGGCCTGAATCTTGTCATCTGCACCACAAAGGCCTTTTGGCAGAAATTCTTCATTGCTCTTCATGGTTTTCTGTCACTGGCTCCTCAGTGGGGTTAAGACAGTGAATTCTGAAGTTGAAGTAAGCATCACAGCACAATTTCATAATGTCATTTTCGGTATATGCAAATAAAGACACACTGAAAGCTGGTATTTCACAAACACGTCTTGAAGGATGGACCCTTCCTCACCCCTGATATTTTAACAGGAGAGCACCATGTCCAAATAGAACCAGTAACTACACTTTTCAACATCCTGGATTTCTAAATGGGCACGTACCTACACTTTAAAGGTATTTATACTCAAGTGCACGAGTTTTTACATTATCACACACAGCATGACATCAACAGTTCTCATAAGATCTCTGTGGTTAAAATAAACCAGTTTAACTCCAGTACCTGCACAAAACTTCAACTATCTGAATAATGAAAAACATCACAATGTTTGGGCTGGTGTACATAAATCAGTGACACCACTGAACGTTCACTTTTCATCTGAGTGTTGCACAACACACTACCATAGTGAGATTTTAAAAGACTTATATTTACGCTATCTCAAGTTCCGGATTGACTTTATATTCCAATAAGCACTCTTATATTGAGAATCAAAATCTAGTAATATTTGGAAGTGGTGATCTTTTTTCCAAACTGATCTAAAAGAACTGAGAATTTTCTCTTTGGATACATGTGAGAGAGATACATTAGCATGCACACTGATATGTAAAGTAGGGTAAATCTGTCTACTGTGAATTTTAGAGAGGAAAAAAAGTATAAAATGAGAGTGTAAGATTGGGTGGGGGAAATATAGTAGCAACTGGAAAAAGGTAAAGATGGATTTTTAATGCCATGAATGAATTTCAATTTTAATTCCCCATTTTCCCATCCAGAACAAGTGCCACCCAGGACCAGTTTCCGAATGGATTCCTCTGGCAAGTATCCTTCAGTGCTCACGGTTCTGTACACAAGCGTCTTCCATTCTGTGTGACCATTCTACAGAGCCGCACGTGTGTTTAGTGCTGACTTGATCCACCTACATATATGCGTAATCACGGCACACAGCCAGGGTCATCCGGCAGGATCTAAGAGCCGCCAGCAGGGGATAGAGAGGGCCGTTGTAAGGTAGCCATGGATGATAAGAAAATTGTGAAGAAGTCACACCCGTGAGTGTCTTCCTTGAAATGCTTTAGTGGGAGATTAGCTGTAAAACCAGCTTAAAGAAAGCTGTTGAGCTGATTTGATCTGTGCTGCCCCATATAGTGGCCACTAACCCATGAAATGTGAGCAGTGACCCTGCTCAGAGTAGTGACCTACTATGATATACACATAAAGTCCACATGGGATTCCCTAAACTCTGCACAGGGATGGCAGAAATAAAGGCTGTCTCATTAATTATGTCCCTGTTGATTTATGCTAAGATGATTTTTTGGATAACCAAGTTGCATGAAATATGTTACTAAAATTGACTTCGCCTGTTCCCTTTGGCACTTTTTAAAAAATGGCTGCTGGCTCTCCAACGCTTTATTTACATTAGACAACACGAAACCAGATAAATAGAAATAAGAAGCCGGGGTATCTCAAGAGATGTGCAATTTAGAACTCTCCAAAGAAATTATTAGAAAACTGGTTAACATAGAATAAGGTATTTGGGGATCAACTGAATACTTTTATAACTTAATTTTTAAACCATGCCAATTGAATATATTCCTGTATTTCAATAATATTTGGGTTAAGATGGAATATCACAGCTGCAAGTTTAAAAGCTTGTACTAGCATCCAGTTCATTTACTTGAAACAACTTTTGACTTATCCATCCCAAAAGCACCTTCTACTTTTCGCTTACATAGGAGTAGCTAAAATTATTATAGAAGTAAAGGAGAGAAGCCAGGCATGGTGGCAGGTGGTCGAAACCCAGGACTCTGGGAGACTGAGGCCGAAGCATCAGAAGTTTGGGCCCAGCCAGGAAAGTGTACTGATGCCCTTCAGTACGAAGGGCCTGAGAGTGCTTCCCAGCATAACCAGGAGGAGAGGGATGGAAGGATAGAGGGAAGACAGGTTTAGATCATTTTCCTTTTTGACTTAAGAATTAAAATACTTAGAATAGCTGACTAGACTATAGGACCGATGGGGTGAACACCGAAGCAACTGCCGAAAAGAGCGTGTCTTCCAAGCAACACTATTTCCGGCCCGCGGGCTCGCCGCCCCACCTCTAGTGTGTCCGTGATGACCACTCATTATCCACCTCAGCACAGTCTCGCGGCCCCTGCGAGTACACGTGCTTGAGATCATTTCATTCCGTAAGTTTCCATGTCATTCTTTTTTTGGATATGTGGAAGATATTGCTTAGCATTTGATCTTCAGCTAATCTCTAAAATATTTGTTTAGTTTGGTCTGAAAAAAAATTTTAAGGAATGATTATTTTTACATGCTGATTTATATGCTGACTCTAAGATCCTTAGTTTTTAAGAATATCTTATTCTCAAAGAGAAAATGGGACCTAGTAATTACAGTTGCAAAATGGAATCAAGGTTAAATTTGGAAATCAAAATCTCAGTTTGCTGATACCAGTGAACACATTTCTTGAAAGTCTCCACTTCTGGGTAATCTTTATTAAAAAAAAAAAAAAGAAGAAGAAGAAAGAAAAGAAAAGAATTGGAAGGGCCATACAGCAGCTTAAAATACCTTGATAAAATGTCATATTTCACATTTCAAAGATTACTTTAAAGTTACAGCTGAAGTACATTATACTACTATACAACTCATATTTTCAAGGAAAAAAGCAATCCAAATAATTTGTTAAATGTCCAAAAAGTATCTAAGTACTTTAGAAAATCATGACTATATCAATAAATGCTCCTCCCATATCATTTCTGGTCTACAATGTTGTTTATCACATTATGTCATGATTTTCGACTAAGTCATAATTTATCATAATGAAAAGGTATATTATTAACTTTATGTACATAAGATCTTTAGAGATAGAGGCAAACTGATAGTAGGACCTCCCAAATAATGGATTATGGCACTAAATAATAGCTCTATAGTGGAAAATTTTGTAGGTCTAGTTGGTGAGTATTTGAATGAAACTGAATTTAAGAAACATTCATTCAGCAACTCGTCCAGGTTGTGCATGATGGGCCACCATCCTAGACCTGGCAGTTACATCATCATCCAGGGACGATCTTAGTGAGAACCAGTGGAATATGTGGCCAAGAACTTTGGGTGGGGAATTCTATCCAATGACAGGAAAACCAGGGCAGGAAATGGTACAGAAACTTCTTCCATAGGAGTCTTTTCTTCGGTTAACATTTTTTAAAAATCTGGTCATACAGATCACATCAACAGCAGCAAATGAGGCACAGACATCAATCCAAATGAGAAAAAAAACAAGGCTGTTCAATTAGGTCATTAGGATGTCATCAGACCCTTTAAAGAGTTAAGTGATGCTGAGAAAGCGGAGACCAGACTGCAAGAAGAGCTAGAGGAACAAAGGCTCTACTAGAATCTGCTTCTGAAGCATAGAAGGCGAGAGAAGGCAGTGTTTGGGATGAGGAAATGTGAGCTTATTTGCAGGCTGAGACGAGCTGAGAGATGGTTCCCAGTGCAGCTGAAATGTGCCCACCCCTGCTCAAGTCGCCAAGAGGTGAAGGAGGAAGGCAAAGGGGGGGGGGGGGTTGAAGGTAGTGTGTCAGCTGCCTCTCTGGTACTGTTAGATTCCAGGGATGGAATCCATGTAATTTTTCATTAACTCAGTCTGTAGCTAGAGTGCATGGAAACCCAGAGGCTGGAAACAGGTTTAACCACCTTCTTCAATTCCTGAGTTTTTCCTTGGCTGTCTTCCCTAAATCATATCGCAAAAAAAAAAAAAAGGCAAAATAATAACACTCCTTTCAGTAGGAAAAATTGAATAAGTGCATTCTTTGTGCCAAACTGTGATAATAAGCTGTGGCACTTACGCTTTAATTAAAACATGAAAGGGGCTTCAAGTACCAACATTTAATTGACATGTTTACAGTGGCGTCTCATGTGCCAAATGAATTCATAAAAATGCCGTTCTTTGCATTTTTGAAGACTGAATCCATTCATAAAATTCATCAGTTGCATTGAGTCATCCAGCCTTTTCCCTAGCACAGTGTACAGAGCCATGCTTTTCAAAAGCAAGACCAAGATACATATAGCATGCGAAGTTCCCTGGAGCCTTAATACGAAATAGGAATCTGCTTTTGAAATTCTGCTCTTCTTTGTTTTGAGAGAGGCTGTGGATGTGTTCGCCATGTGCTAATTTAAATGCTCACTTTTGTGACAGTGGGGTGAGCCCAAGATAAGTTGTGACATGTAAATTCTACTCCAGTAGCTTGCCACCAAGTTGTTAGAAAATCACATCTGGGAGGAGGATCGTGAGAGGCTTCCTTTTCATAATGCCTGAGAATCCTGGGACCCAGCTACTAAGCAACACTGACCACAGACGGCTGCTGGACACCAACATCCAAAGAATCTTCTCTTGCCTCTTGGTTCATTTCTTTACAGTCACTGCCTCTCCTCTTGGGATGTACCGGGCAGCGGCTGGAGTGCCCTGACAACCTGCAAAAGGGGCTGAGGAAAAAGAAGAGACCAAAAAAGAGTAAAGGAAGAAAATCAGCAGAAGAGATAAAGGACACCAGTGGGACACGGTTGAGTGGCATCCAAGGGGACCCAGGTATAGCTAGGTATCCAGCCAGCCGTGGACCCAGGTATGGGTAGGTATCCAGCTGGCCTTCACTGGCAGCTTCCCATGTGTAGTTTATTTATAAACAAGATAGAGGGTGGTGGCTGTTGACTTCCATCACATAGGACTGAAAGCCGACCCTGGAATGTATTCCTCATGTTAACAAAGGAAGAAAGAACGCATCATATAACAGCTGAGCGCGTCATCGGGCTAGAAGAGCAACTCGGGAAGAGACTTCAGCCCCTTCAAGAGAGCCAACAAAATGAGAGAGAGAAAGAATAACATCTCTGAGCACCATGCATGTAATTTTAGTTATTTTGTGAAGTCAGTCTCAAAGAGGGTGGGGGAAAGAAACCAAAGAAAAATGATCTTTCTAAAAAAAAAAAAAACCTCTCACTCCTTCCCACACCACCAGCAAATAAAACAACTGTCTTAAAGCAACCTCTAAACTTTTTTCCAGGTGACAGTTTCTCTGAAGTTTTCATGTTCTGCAGTCTCTGAGTCTGTGTTTAAAAAAATTAACAAAGAAATAAACAGCAGATCACAACTGCGAGGACACTTGTCTAGAGACTCTTCTCCTTGCTCCTGTCTACTTGTTCCGATACAAGGCAGTGCCCAGCTCTGCCTTGAAGAATGGAAGGGTAAAAATAAATAGATTTCCACATACCACCCACTGTTTCAAATTAGCATGGATTAGCAAGCAACAAAGGGATGGCAAAGAACACCAAAAGGCACATAAAGAGTAGGAAAAGGAGGATAATGCCCTTTCACCCTTCAGTTCTTCAGAGTTAAATAAATTAGCTAAAAATCTTGATTTTTCTCCTGTGAAAAAGTCATAAATCACTTAGTAAGGAAAAGCTTTCTCATTCTCCTAGGAATGTGGAATTCCCTGACAAAACCAAGCCTTTATACCTTCACACATCTCAAAATCCCATTACTGGGGATGTCACAATTTCAGTATTTCCTGAGGAGAAGCCCTATTTAGCAGTCACATGGGACCTGCAATGAACTCTTTGCAAAGTTCTTGGTGCAATATGAATGGGTGCTGAACTCCTCAGAGGAGCAACGCCCCTCCAACCATACACACCAGGAATCCTGAAGTGAGAGGAACGGAGGAGTAGGTGGAAAGCTCTGCTTGGACACATGCTGGCTGTGTCACTTTAAGTCTCAGAAGTATGTCACCTGCTTACTTGTACTTTCTATGTATATAAGATCTGGAGACCTTCAAGCTAAAGGTGGTTGAGACAAGATTGCAGTGGTCAGTTGTATCCTAACTACCCTGTAGCATCTGATCAGGGATTGGCATTGCTCCTCACCTCCCACCTTAGCTCATCTTTCTTCCTTCTACGGGAAGGGTACCGGTCCCCTGCTGGGACACGGCAGGGCTCGTCCATCTGCCTGCAGACCGCAGAAGGCATCACACACACTGCTCTGTGATTTCATATAGGACACTGAGGACTTCACAACTAACTGGATTCAAAACCATTTGTGCGTCATAGACGTAGGACAAAGTTGTCCTCTTTCCTTGACCACCCAGCTCTATTCAATAGGAATAAAATTCTTTTAAGTTCTCCCATCTTTGAAGTGTGGATGGATATACAATTTATAAAGAATGTCGAGGTCTAACTGGTGATTCTTCTTTAAGAGGTTCATAGTTTTCTTCAAATGGGAAGGACCTTGGTAATATGTGCATTTGCTCATAGGCTGCCAAAAAAATCAACTGTACCTTGTCTATATGTGAATGGTCATTGATTCTTGCACAGTGTGGACATATTTAGGACATTTGGTCTTGATTTTTTTTAGAGTATAGAATAATCAGCATTTCCTCACAAATTAGAAGTGAGCAACCTGGCTTTCAGGTATTACTAGGAATAGTCTAGGTCGGTGGGCACCAAGGCAAGCCTGTTTCATGTCTTTCATATTTTGTTTGGTTGGCTGGCTTTTTTCTGGGGTACTGAGAACTGCACCCAGGGCCTTCACCCTGAGCCACATCCCCGGAACTTGATAGTTTTTGTTTTAAGACAAAGTCTTGCTAAGTTGCACAACTATCCAGGCTGGACTCAAGCGTGTGCTCTTCCTGCCTCACCCTGCCAGAGCACCAGCTCTCCTGGAGAGCACCATCGCTGCGTGTCCCACCCTGTGTGGCTTCAGGAGTCCTGCTTGCTGCAAAGCCAGTGTGCAGCAAGTCTCTCTTTCTCTCTCTCTCTCTCTCTCTCTCTCTCTCTCTCTCTCTCTCTCTCTCTCTCTCTCTCCCTGCTGTGCTTGCTGTTACATATTCAAGTGACTTAGTCTTTTTGCGCTTTTTGTCCTACGAGGATTCTCCTCTGAAATCCCATTGCCATTTCTAAAACTCTCCTATTTAAGGAGAATTTTATGTAATACTTATTTCTCTCACTTCTAATTTCATCTTCAAATTAGAGAGGCCCAGAAATCACTGAAGAGCTCTTAAGCAAAGGCTGGATTCATGAATATTCCTCCAAACCACCCGCGCTGGTCACTCACAACATACTAAGAGTGGACGCGAAAACACGCAGCTCAGCCGTGACGGGCGTGGACCCCTGAGGAAGGGGTAGAGGGCTGAGGTGGGGAAGCAGGGAAGCGCATTCTCCTGAGAAAGCCAAAAGATTCCTTATAGTTTTAATTCTAGGGATGAAAATATTCCATTCAGGAGTTCTCCAGATCACGTTCAGGCTCTTTCCATTCCTTCACTAACTTCAGAGTGGTAGGTAGCCTGCCTCGACCGTGAGTATACTCATGAAGTCGAAGTCCACCACAGCTTCCCCCACCCTAAGATGTTTGGGGGATAAGAGTTTATTTTAGAAATTCAGATGAATTTCTACCTGTAAGCTACCAAAACAAACAAACAAAATTAGAAAAATAAGCAATGCACTTACATCACAGTAGAGAAAAGCTTAAGGTCTATATTTTCTAATTTGTATACTTTTAATACTTTTATTAGGTATTAATTTATGCCACATACACACACACACACACACACACACACACACATATGCGTGCGTGCGCGCACACACACAAGCTGAATGTGTCAGATCTTAGCAAACTACCAGGTAGCTCAGATTTAGCTGTCTGTCTGCTCTTAGTCCAAGGCAATCAGAGTACACGTCCCCTGTGTCACAGCCCAACTTCTTCAGAGCCATCCAGATGCTCTCAAGAAAATTAGAAAGTATAGAGGCATCTGTGTTTTCTCTCAGAAAGTGCATGCGCTCCTACCTGTGGGATGCCCTTGGAGTGACCTTGACTGGGCCCAGTTGTGCAAGGGATGCCCTGACCTCACAACAGTACTTCTTCGCTGTGTAGTTTTGCCTCCTTTAAGCTGTCCATCCACTCTAACAGCATTCCCATTGATCACCGCACAGAATTAACTTACTATCGGTGTGTACGCTCCTCGGGGTGGGAGGAGGCTGGATTCATGACTCAATGGGGTCTTCTCTATGTCAGGTCCAGATTATAAAGAACTGGATGTTCACCTTCGGAGGATGGAGTCTGGATTTGGCTTCAGAATCCTCGGAGGAGATGAGCCTGGCCAGCCAGTAAGTGGAATCCCCTTTATTTCCATGCTTTCTGCTCTATTGTATGTGCAAACCCCAGGGAAGATATCATTCTGGATGACATTGAAAAGGAAGTGTTTTAGGCCTCACATAAAAAAGATCGAGTGTTATTTCCCTTGCTATTCTCTGTAAGAAGATCTCCAGCAGCAAGCTTGTGCATAGCCAAAATCACATTACAAATCACAAAAAGCAATAATAGTCTCTCAGAGTGGATGGGTTCTTCTAGAGTGTCTCAGTTATCCAAATGCATTAGAACCTTGCTCTCCCTGCGGGGAGGTGGGGGGCAGGTTGTGGGTAGACAATCAATGTGACTGAAGATACGTGTATAGAGGACACTTGAGAAGTTAGAATTAAGTACACTTTCAGCCGAACGAAGGAAGAAGTGACCATAGGGGTTAGGAGAGGTCTAGTCAAGTTCAGCACTGCAGAGTCTCCACCACATTTAAAATAAAGGATTAAAATGACAGCACCTAGTTGGGGCAATATTGGATGTTCAGAAAGGGTTACGGAGAAATCCTTCTTCGACATACACATATGTGTATGTATTCACAGCGAAAACATAAAAGAACAGTAGTCATTAGTACACAGAAGGCTTTCTTTGAGGATGTGTTAAAATATCAAGTATAAAATATTCATTGTGAAAGACGTGTCTTAAATTGTCCTCAGTGCAATCAAATCAAGTCCATAAAAGTTCTGAAAATGTAAGTCGAAGGAGTACATTCGGATGCCAGGGCCCCTGGCCTAGGGCCTGCCCCCACCCTGCTCACACCACAGACGCCAAGCCCTGGCCTTCTGCTCTGCACGATGAGGGTGACACAGTGCTTTCTCTTGGAAGTAAAGAAGTCAAGAAGTACTAATGCTCCAGGTAGTGTCTTATCATAGTGTCAATTACATGTTAATTATCTTCAGTTTTATTTCTCATGTTAATAGATTGTTCCCCCAAAATAAAAATAAAACTGAAATTTCCAGGAAAAACTGTCAATATAACAAGTGAAACTCTCCAAGAAAAGATGTCAATCAAGTACACGTGTCTATTCATCTATTCCTGTAACAATTAAAGCCATCCCAAAGTGAGGTAGGTAGGTAGGTAGAAGCTGAGCACCTTCCCTGGAGCACTGTGCACGCAGGGTCACCGAGACCCCGGAGGGCTTCCACTGTCCGGGAGAGTTGGGCTCTGTGTCTGATGAGGTCTCTTCCTACAGGAAATTCCAGGAAGCTGGCTGGGCCTCCAAGTATGAGGACACTCCAAAGAAGGGAACTTGCTTCTCATTTTCTGGGATTGTTGCCTATTGGAAATAACTAATCCACATGTGCTAATTTCCCAGCTACCAAAGAATACGGAAAAATCTTGCCCAGCTTTTCCCTAGTGTTTTGAAATGAGAGAGAAAAACAGTAGGTAAAAACCTAGACAGAGCCATAAATGTAGGGTCCCTTCTACGAAGCGGGTTCACTGTGTACTCTTCCTGGACTTGCTGAGTCCACTGAGGCAGAATATACGCACACACGGCGGATGACATGAAGTGGACTTTTACTTTTTGCAAGGAACAGCAGGAGCAAAGTGTTCCTTGGGCGCTAGTCCCCTGAGAGCGTCCTAGGACAGATGGAGTCGCAAATAGTTCATGCGCTATTTGTGTCACAGCTGAGGAACGCCAGACAGTGGTGACCTGTGGGTTTCAGACTCTAAAGTTACATGGATCACCAGGCTAAAGTACAGAAGGAGATTCCCACTTTACCCAGAACTGGGACACAGCTCAGCGTTTTCCAGCTGGCTTCGCAGCTCAGGATGTTATGTCCTCAGAACATTCTATGGCTGATCCTGAGAACCACAAGCAAGGAAGTGAGAGGAGTCATCTTTAGGCCACTGGAGAACTGGCCTGTCCCCTCAAGCTTGATCATTCCCTGAAAGAAACAGGCTCAGGACAGCATCCCACTGAGGATTCATTTTACTGCAAAGGATACAAATCATAATGTTTGGACAGGATATCATGTCTGCATCTTATACTACAAATAACTATTACCAAGACAACAATATGCAATGTATTAACTATTGTAACTGTCCTACTAACCTGTCTCATTGCTATTTGTTTCTCAATAAATTAATAATAATAAAAAAATAAAATTAACAGAGAAAAAAAAAGAGACAGCCAAAAGAAGAGACCCATGGGCCAAAGTCTAGACAGTTTCAAATGTGAATCTTCAAGCATCCCTGGAGACAAGTGACCCTCCAGCTCTGACTTGTCAGGCATTGCCAACAAGGAATGCTCCTCAAAACTGTGGCACCCAGAGTTTCTCCAGGGCCTTCACTGTGTGGCCATGGTTGAGCTCACTCTTACTGAGCTCAACCTGTGGTTCTTTGAAGAGGCCAGGCCATTACTGTGTGACTAAAAAGCACAGTCCTCTCACTACATGGTACTTCTGGGATGGCCATTCCTCAGCAAAGATTCTTGATGTGGCTGGCCCTCCTTGAGTCATCTTCTGATGTTAAACTATCAGATATGCAAAAGAAGACACTCCTATTCCAAGAATGTGGAGTAACCAGGGACAGTCACCAGACCTTTCTTCAAACTGAAGCCAAATCCTTTATTACAAAGCTACAAGCTTGAAAGATTCTAAAGATTTGAAACAAAATAAAACTGTGCTTAAAATAAAGCACCATTGTGTGGTAATGTCAAACCATGTCACGATATGGGAAAAAAAGACAAACTCAGACGGAACCCACTGCACGTAGACTAGAATAATTCCTCAAACTTACCAACTGAAGGAACTTTTACCAGAAAGACAAGTCTCTGTCTCAGAATATACTACCTGACATCATATCAACCTGTGAGCTCCTTCGATGTGAGAACTGTGTTTGATATTTATGCCTTCCAAGACTAGCCTCGAGCCTGGTACAATGTATACCTGTTGAATGGAAGTGAAGAGAGTGCTCCTCACCAAGACAAAACTGTCACTCAGTTTCTCCGAAGAAATAATGATCTGGAACTTCCATTTCCTACTGGTGCTAAACATAAGCCCTGTAGAATTACCCTGGCCTACAAGCAGAGCTGACATGCTCACAACTCTGTAGCATCCTTTGTTAGATGCTAAAGTGTTTTAAAAATGTTGAGCCCTAACTCTTCTCACATCATAAAATCTTTGATTTAAAAGTTTTGACGAGGCTGGGGAGATAGCTCAGCAGCATAAGTGCCCGCCTGGCAAGTGCAAGGACCCAGGTTCGATCCCCAGTAGCACATTCCATGTTGACCCTGGAATCTCAGGAGCGCCATGCAGGCCCCAAAACCAGGTGGGGTGGCACATGCATATAATCCCAGCGCTGGGGAGGCTGAGACAGAAAAATCCACTCAGTACAAACTGAATAGTGAGACCCCATATCAAATAACTAAATAAGCATTTTTTTAAACAAGTTTTTCTCTTTCCTCAAAAAAAATGGATCTAGCATCCTTAAGCTTGTCTTGATCTGTGACAACTGACTGGAAGCTAAGCAGTGACCCATTCCAGACGAGACATAATCATGATTCCCAGAATTCCCAGTGCCTGGGCTGCCTCCTTAAGCCGCCATCTTTGAAACTTTCATCCCTGAGGACTGGATTAAAAGAAATTGGAAACATGAATATTTTATGCCACCGGAGCCAGCAACCAGGGCAAGGCCATGATTTTTATTGGTTGTCAGCACTGAACATATTGTCAGGTCCCTTCTTTTATATATAAATACAAATAAAACATTAAGCTATGAAATAAATATGGGGCAAAGCCACAGTTTCAATTCTTCCCATGATAGTTACTATAGTATAGTCTTTGAAATATGAAATTCTTACTTCGTCAGGGCCCCAGGCTCATGCTTTATCATTTAGGGGGTAAGCCAATACCCTACTCAGCAAATGTTACCTTTGCCTGCCCCTGCCTACCTCAAAAGGAGAAAGGCCTGCCTGACCCCATCATGGGAAGGACAAGCATAGTCTTGTCCTCAAGAAGGGACAGGGCCTGCTGGACTCTGCCTGCCAGGACAGATGGGACTGTTTCCAATCCCTCACACACTGCTTCAGCTGAAGCTCAGGGTGTGCATGCACCACGCTGTCCACACAGCCTCAGGACATGGTCCTGCCCAGTTGATACGCAGGCTCCCAGATGCCTAGGCCTCCTGAGTCCTGAGTTCTTTCTCTTCACATTATGAAAGATGATAAGCCTCTTCACATTACATGGATTGCTGGCTATCCTTATTGTGCTTATTTAGATTGATTCCTGTTTACTCTTTGTTGAAATGATTGAAGACACATGCCTGTGGAAAGTTACAATTTTGAGACTTAAGCCATAAAGTAGAAGCCTAAATCTGTCTGATGCCGCCAAAGCCCAAAACTGAGCCCTGAAAACCAGAATAACTGCCTCAGGCAGAGTGAGTTCACTGAAAAGACCCCCAGCAGCCTCTCCTTCCTGCTTTGCTCTGCCTCCTGTCCAGGGACAGCATACGAAGCTGCCGCACCAGCCTCTGTCCCCACCCACAGGCAGTCTCACAGGTTCCTGCAAATGGGTTTCTGCCTCTTCCAATGTGAAATGCTATTGGCATCCCATGGTGCTCATAAAACAGGACAACAGGGCTCTGGACAGACAATGAACAGCAGGACTCTGGATCAGACAAAGCATAGGAGCATTTTTCCTGCAAAAGGAAATACTTTTCACAGTTAAATAATAATAGGAAGAGGAAGAAATGAAAACATGCCAGAAAGAAACAAAAATGAAATTTCCAGCTGTGAGCTAAAAAGAAACAGAAAAGCAACAAGATGGAAGAGGGCAGACAACTCCACACAGGACCCCATGTGGGCGCACAGAGGAGTTTCAAAAGGAAGTAGCCTGACGTGTTTGTCACGATGGCAAGGGGTCCCGGGCCACGGTTGTGGAGGAGCAGATCTCCTGGGCTGGACTCACATCCTCTAGGTGGGGCCAGGGAGAGTTAAAAGGCTTGAAAAACGGCTTGGGGTTGGATCCTTGCTTGGTCTTATTTTCTTCACGTTCTTTTCCTTCCTGCCTTACTGGGTATTGGCCGCTTCCGCGGGAGTCGTCGTTGCCTCACAGCAGGCGCTGTCTCGGGTCTGCACACCCAGAGAGACAGCCGGGCTGTGGAGTGGCTTCATGCCTCTGGTCTCTGAAGGCAATCAGAAAGACTGGACTGTGGGTCTCAACTGGAACTGTTCCTTCAGGGCCAAAACTCAGGGACAGAATGAAAAGGCCCTTCCTGCAGGTAGAGACAGGGCCAGAGCCCAGTGAGTTAAAAAGTGAGTGGCCAAGGCGCGCTGGCTGGGCAGCCTCCCTGGCCAGAGGGCACTAGCCCAGCGGGAAGACAGGACTCGGGCGTTGGGAGCCCAGGCCAAGCCCTGAGCCCTGAAAGGCTGTGGGAAGGAAGCATGTGGCCACGTGCCTGAGGAAAGTCTCCCTAAGGACTGGGGACGCGACCGGTCCACCCAGAGGGCCCGTGGCCATGGCTCCGAATGGCGCTGTCACAGCCCTGGTGCTGAGTGCATCTGGGCCAGAGCCGGCACCCCTCTCCTGGGAGAGTGTGGCCCACACAGAGCCAGTGCAGAATCAGCTGCCAGGGTGGGGTCCCAAGCCGCTCTGTAAGCTCGAGGGCCATTCCTCCACACCCTAAAGTTCGAGAACTCCTGACTGAAAGGGTCAGACATGAGAAGCAGCACATTCTGATGAGCTTAAGAGGCCCAATAATGTGTCCTTTGGGAAGCCCAGAGGGTTACAGTGCAGGCGAGACTCATAGATTATCCGGCCCCAGCAGTTAAGGTAGCAAGTGGGACATAATAGAGTGCATCAAGTGCACAAATCGTATTTGAAGTAAAGGAAAAGAGTTGTGTTTTTTCCTGTGCGGAGTCACACAGAGCTCTCTGTGTGTCAGCGGTGAAATAGTGGAGGGTGCACACAGGGGCGAAATTGCCCGAGGCTGAGGAGCAAAGGCGGCAGCAGCGCTGGAGGAGGTGGCAGTGAGCGGGCAGCCCTGCCTGGCAGCGGCAGGAGCCCAGCAAATGTCCCGGTCCCTGCCGGCCCGTGGGCCCGGTGCTCAGCTCAGCTCGAGTTGGCTTCATAGCTACGCATGAAGCCTCATGGGAAAGTTAGGAATTGGAAATTGGAACCTCACGGGAGACCCAGGTGGAGAGCATTACGTAATGCAATTGTGTGGTACTACCCATATACGTGCACTGTGTCCTAAAGAGTACCAGCTACTAAAGAGCATCGGACAGAACTGATGTGATAGACACCATGGGCAAACATTATCATACCATGCAACATTACATATTTATGAATTGCATGTGATTATATGATAATATACCTATAGAATACTATATACTAAATAATTCTATGTCATAATTTATATTGAAGTACTGGATTTATGATTTATTTGGATAATTGAAGTATTAACTGGATATATTTCCCAGACATAAATGTATAGGAGTCAATAGAGCAAGCTACAGGAAGATTTAAGGGTTGAAGCTTGAAGGTTTTCGGTAAACTGATTCCAGGGAACTTCAGTCTTTGTGCAATGTCCAGTTCTCAACGGTGCCTTCTCTAACTGACTCTAGCACTGCCTCAGCGACACTAATGACGCCTTCTTCACCTTGCTGTAGCTTTTCCATCGTACCTTTCTTCTGGCAGATGATGTAATTCACATATTTATCACCTTTGTCATTGTCTGGGCACTGGGATGGAAATCTATGGGACAAGGACTTTTGTTTATTGATTATTGACACTCTAACACTTGAAAGTACCCCTGGGCTCAATGAATACTTGTAGAATAGATGAATTAAGGAGATTAACTCATGTCATACCAGTGTCAAAGGAAAGCAGGGATTTTACTGAGATCTCCCTTCTAATCAACATGACATTAAGCTGTTGGCACAGTAATTTCAAGAGTTATATATAATAATATATATAGTTTCAATATATATATTGCTGTTGCCCTATTGCAGGAGAGAAACAGGAATTTTGCCATGTGAAACATCACCCTTACTGTTTTTGTAGAGCCCAGTTGTGGCTATGACTTGATCGTAGTCCCTATTTTTTGTTTCATTTTCGTTATTTGGAATCAGAAAAATACCTTAAAATTTATCATCTATTAGTCAAAAATTCGAAGCCCATAGCCAGCTACAAATCCTCCCACTTCAGTATGGAGGAGGTCTAAAGGTTGAAGCATTTCTGTGGCAGCGGAGAAATGTAGACATGCATTTTAACTGGCTTTTGCACAAAGCATTTTTAAAATCTGTGAAGCAATCCATCGTGGGTTGAGCCTTTTGAAGACTAGTTGGAACATCTTTTGAAAGAAATACATAATCTCAAGCTGGTATGACAAGAGAAAATGGAAACTATCCAAAGCATGCCCAGCTTCTAGACTATAGCACACGGGTACAGTGGGTCACAGGGAGAGAGCCACGCTGTGCAGCCCATCTGAGGCGGGGTTCAAGCCTTTCCTGTGATATCAACAATGAATCCCGCATCAGAATGCTAGCATTCACCTCGGCAGCTACTCTATGCCCACCCCTCGGGAATCGAAAGAAAGCAGCAGTCGTGTAGGGAGTTTTTATTGTTCTGAAACAAGCAGTCATGCTGTAGACCAAGGCTGGAAAGCCCTCAGGTTGTAATTTTGGCTACACAGCACCTAAAAAGAGCTGGGCCTCCAGATCTGGAACCGTGGTGACAAAGTGACCACAAACAAAGGGATCAGACTGCTGCCAAGCCTGAGCACGCAGCCTGCAGGTCAGGAGAGAGCCGTTCTGCAAGCCCACTGGAATCTAACTGGGACCCACGGACCTGGGACTCGAAGGAAGTTATTAGTTCACAAGCCAAAGGTTATTTCCCAAGTGTTTAAAGCCTTCTGTGAGTGTTCTGCAGGGTTCCAGGCTAGTACTAGCGTCCACCTTCAGGCGCTGCGTGGCTCAGCCACTGCTGCAGGAGAAGGAGCCCGTCATCCATCAGTTGGGAAAATGGTTCCTAGCTCAACCAGCAAATTAAAATATTTAGCACTGTTTTCTTTCCTCAGAGACAGAAAAGCAGCCTGGCTAATGGACACTAGTGGAGTGAAGGAACCTTATGTCTTAGCTTTTAAGTCCCTACTTCAGAGAATGATGACAGCCTCTGCAGTCCCCGAAGTGACATCCATCTCCTGGCACGGTGGCCGTCACTCTACCAAGCAGGTCCAGAACACAGGCAGACATGGAGAGTGCTCTGAAGAAACACCCAAAGGCATGGGAGGGGCGCGTCGGGGAAGGCTCATGACTGACATATTGGGAGCAAGTCATCTGGCCAGAAAGAGGCAACTGTTACTTTGCTGGTATTTGTTTTGTTTTGTTTGTTTTTTATCCTCCAGCTTTGTAAAGCAAAGCCAAAAAAAATAACAAAAACAAAAATTTTGAACTTCTATTTCGAAAATCACAGTCATTAATTTCTCTTTGACATTTTTGTGGTTGTTGCTTTTTGGTTTGGGTTTTTTATTTTTCTGTTGAGAGAGGGTCTCGCTATGTAGCTCAGGGTGGCCTGCACTCCCTCGGACTTGAGCTAATCCTCCTGCCTCAGCCTCCTGAGTGCTGGGATTGCGGTGTGTGCCATCATGCCCAGCTCCCTCCTCGCGTTGTCCGAGTGTTCCACGGGTGCCATGAAGAAAGCCTGTTGTTTCACGTACTGTATGTTACTTCACTCCATTCGCCCACAGACCGTTGGGAATCAGTCCTCTGATTATTTTCTCCATGTTCCAGGTGAAGAAATAGGCTCATGGAGGCATCGGGTCTCCACCTGGTTCCAGCACAGAGTATGCCTGCTGGCACGTTCAATTATTTTGAGTCAGATATTTCCTTGAGGTTGACAGCTCATTAGCCAGAAAGCCAATGTCCCCAAGCCTTCTGGCTATCAGCAGTAGGTTGGAGGATTATTTCTCCAGGAATTGGCAGCCCGAGAGCGTGGGAAGGCCGTCCTCCCGGCCGCTCGCTCTTCATGTTCTCGTACCAGCTCCCGTGTCCATGTGCACCCTGACAGCCCTTTCTTTCTCTCTGCGTCTCTAGATTTTGATCGGAGCCGTCATCGCCATGGGATCAGCTGACAGAGACGGCCGCCTGCACCCAGGGGATGAGCTCGTCTATGTGGACGGGATCCCTGTGGCCGGCAAGACCCACCGTTACGTCATCGACCTCATGCACCACGCAGCCCGCAACGGGCAGGTGAACCTCACTGTGAGAAGAAAGGTGCTATGTGGAGGTTGGTACCTAGGCCCCCAGCCGGGGTCCAGGGTGCCGTGTGGAGGTTGGTACCTAGGCCCCCAGCCAGGGTCCAGGGTGCCCTGTGGTGGTTGGTACCTAGGCTCACAACCGGGGTCCAGGGTGCTTTGTGGAGGTTGGTACCTAGGCCCACAGCTGGGGTCCAGGGTGCTCTGCGGAGGTTGGTACCTAGGCTCACAACCGGGATCCAGGGTGCTCTGTGG